AAACATTTCAATCCATATAAAGAAATGTCCTCTTCCCTGACACATACAGGTGTACATACCCTCTTGGCAACCGCCGTCCTCCCGTGCGTAACTACATAAGGCAGTTAGAGCTAGGGAAGTGTTGGCTGTTGGCAAAGCCCGATCTTGTCATACGATCGGATCCGATCTCCCAGGCAATTTACACCCCCACCGCAGGATAACTAATGTTTTTTTTCTTTGTTTGCATCATGCGATCGCACACGATCGATCCGTCTGCGTAACTATCGGGGCTCGGGGATCAAATAATAATAGAACTGGGAAGTATAGTAGGGCGTCTAGGTAACTTTGCACTTTGTGCACGTCCTGTGTAGCCAGGCACATGGTACGGGGTACTGTAGATTGATAATGTACGACTGGATAACTAGATAGGTGGATGGATAGATGGATGATGGCAGATAAAAATAGAACTTCCCCAGTATACATAGAATGCACGTTGAAGTATTTTTATCAATCATCCAATACATACTAACGAATCGTCCAATAGTCTACTGTGATAGTTCAGAGTCAAAAATATAGGCACAGGAAACTAGATCAGCCGATTCCCATTGGCGCAGGCTCGCAATCCCTCCGGTCAAAAATAGATCAGCAGGTCGTGAAGGACGACCGAGTCAGGAAAACTAACGCTGCTTGGCTTCTGGCTAGCTTGGTCGTCGGCTCCGGGGATATATTAATTTTAATTGGGATTTAGTATGGTTGCTACTAGACTGTAGGTGTATGATGCGAGGATCGACTCGGTAGATGTGTACATAGATGAACTGCTTAGTATAGTGCTAAGGAGAGGCTAGGATTGCACTATGTAGATACTAGAATTAGATACTAGATGGTGGACTGGACGGCGCATGGTGGGCAGGTGGCAAGGCGGTAGAAGCCGTAGAATAGTACATACTAACGGATAAGACACACTTGGCCGGAAATAGAATCGCATGTCCGTTGTGATTTATTATAGTTTGGTGGTGGTTGAATCCTCGAATTACTCGTTCTAGTTCTGCTGCACACATGATGATAGTACTGTATGTACCTACATGAGGGGAAGACATTCTGTCTCGTAGACACATGTTAAAAATAACCCGCATCCTAGCGAAAGAAAGACAATATCGCTTCTATGATTACCTCTCCCCTCCTGCACATTGACGTACCGTACGTCCATGGTGTGCACCCTGCAAAGACCAACGAGGGAAAGCAGCTAAAGCACACTATTGTAATTCCGCCGGTCCGCGCGAGGTTCAACCCTGAGTCCCTGACGTCGTCGACAGCTCCAGCCTTGAGTCAAAAGGCAAAGCAGGAAATCCGCGTCCGTTTTTTCCTTCTTCCTCGGGGTTAGTGTCGGGGGCTTGATGCTGTAGGTTTGCCGCTAGTTGACTTGTTCCGGTTCTCGTTCCCGCGAGGAGGGCGACGGGCCAATAACCACCGAGGCATTTGGGGGGCACGGATCATTGGGCTTTGGGGACTAGGCTGCATTGGGATGGAACGGGCAGGGATCATGCATGGAGGAGGTGTCGTACCTTACAGGATACTTACTTACTTGCTGTGTAGGCAGGTGTGTTGGAGTTTCATGTCTTCTCCTTTTCCTTCCGGTTTCTTTTTTCTTTTACTATAATAAGATATAGCTGTATATATGTACTGTACAGAGGAGTACTTAAGGCTGGGAATCTGCTGTGGATTCTGTACTCTGGACTCTGCACTCCGAGGTAAGGTAAGTATGTAATAATAATACCTCCTGCTAGTCAGGCACACGAGTGCCGACCGCTCCACCCCTGGCGCTGTCATGTCCGCCTCGCCAATCACGGCGCACGTAGTGGCGACGGGGAAGGGCGGGTACCTGGATCGATTCACCAAAGAACTGGCTGGCTGGCCGGCCTGGAAAGGCTGTGCCTTACACATCACTTATTAATAGTAAGAGGAGCATGCTCGGGATGCGCACCTTACTTAGCGACCACCTTGCCTCGATCAACTCGCACTTCCGGCCGATATCTTTGGAGCTGGTCTGATGATGGATCAGGGACCAGGAACCAGGGCATTGTACGTCACAGAAGCAGAATTGACTTTGGCTGACCATGGGTCCTCCGGCGGGAAAGTGCTCTAGTTAAGGTACCCGGTCAGCACCTACGTCCTAAATGTAAGTGTAGTGTATGGAGAAATTGTAAACCTGTACGGATGGATACTAGAGTCGGGAAAGGAGGGAGAACCGGATTCATTTGAAACAAGACCCTGAAGTAAAACCAGTTCGGTCGCAGGTGTGTGTGTGGTGTGTGGTGTGCGTGTTACCTACTCCGTACTGTTAGCGACGGAGACCTTACTCCTTAGTCGCAGCGTTCCACGAGGGGGGTGCCTGAGGATTATTTAGGAAGTGTTGCTGGTGTGTGGTTCTTGGCTTTGCGCTTAGCCTCTCTTTTTCCTTCTTTTCTTTTCTTTTCTTTTTTTCTCACCCTTTTTTATTTTTTATTTTTCTTTTCTTTTTTCCTTCCTAGCGTTTCTCTCGGCTCTCTCCCCTTTCCCACCCACTTTCCCAACTTCCGCTTCCGCTTCCACTTCCACTTCCCACTTCCCCTGCTCCTGACGACTACCAGAGTGTCCACTCCCCCTAAGCCGTGAACGGAGTCGGCACTCCGTAGTCCGTTACGGTCTGAGAGAACCAGACGAAGGAGATCCTTTTCGTTAAGTACCGTCAATTCGGCAGAGGTTGTGATCGTGCTGGGTGTGCTTACTGGGGCTCCACTTTCTGGGAAACCCTTTTCCCTTCGGATCCGATTCACTGCGCCTACGTACACCATACACTGTACGGAGTAGTGTGCACATACAGAATTCTCCCAGCTGGCGTTGGCTGAGATCAAGGGGACATGGGCTGGGAGGTGCAAGTGCCCTTAATACTCCGAACCTCCCTGTCTACTGTACTGTACTGTGTGCAGCGTCGAAGGAGAATAACCAGGAGGCTGGCCTCTCGATGGAATTAATTTATTTCTCCGAACGGCCCAGGTCGCCTTCTTCCACCCGTTCCTTCATCCGTTTGCCTGGTTCATCCTAACCGGCACTATGACCTGAACGGGGTCTGGTGGATTCGACTATCGGTCTTCCGTCTTCCATAGAGCCATCGACCGACCCGAAGGGGTCATATTTCCCCGAACATTAGCAGGAGGGAAAATAATAATATTATGGTTATTATTATTCGTACGGACTATTATTCATGTTCTACCTACTGTAGTATAGTTCCTGCTCTGTCCGGTACCTAGTATGTATTTACTATCCAGTATTCAGTTGTCACTTTAACCGGTCAACGTGGTTACCGTTGACCAGCAACGGTCGGACCTGGACGGTTAACTGTTAACCTGTCATATTTCTTGCGAATCGCCCGTACGTACTCCAAAACTAGTCGGATAAGCTTAGTATGTGACTGGTAGTTGTCCTAGTCAGCGTCACCCCCCTCTTCTTCTTCATCCTCCCTCCGATTCGGTTCGCCTCAAGGCTGGCGCGAAATGGAGACGAGCGATTAGTCCGTGCTGGTCGGTAGGTCGGCTTAGGTGCATGACTAGGTCGAGGTTGCTCTGAGCCCTCTCTGCATAGTGTGCATACCGGGTACATCCTGGTGGCGGTCGGTGGCTTGTTATTGGGTGCTGGCCATCCTAAACAGCATTGGGCAGCAGGCCTCGGATGCGCGTGGATGCAGGGGCCAAATCCAGGAGAGAGGGTGTGTGGACTGTGTATGAAGACTGCATCGGAGGGAGGGGAATTTGTTCTTTTCTACTTTATTTTTTTGGCCCTCAGATAAGGCAAGGTCCAGTCCGGAGTAGAGTTCCTTGGGATATGATATAAGCACCGGTCGACGGTCTGGAATTAATCGGGCGGATTCTCACGTCAACAACGATACTAAAGATCGAATCAGGGAATTAATTTATTGTCCGTCTTGTTCTCGATCGTTGTCAGTGTATTAGGGATCGTCTCTCCCGTAACAACCGGATTTTTTGGTTTTATTTTATTTTATTTTTCTGTGACCTAAAATCTGGCCAGGCAACAGAGACCGAACAGGGCAGGTCAAAAAGGAACAGGAAACAGAAAAAGAAAAAGAAAAAAAAAACGCCCCACGGAGAAGTCAGGAACCGCCGGTGCCAAAACAACCAGCGCGACCAGGCCTGCGACTAGACCCGATCGAGCCCCCCCATCTCCTGACCTGACTCTCTGTGTCTCTGGCTGCTCTGGCACTGCTCTCCGTCTCTCTCTCTGGCGCGCCTCTCCTCCACCCGTTTGTCTCTCCTTCTCCTTCTTCCCTTCTCTTCTTCTTCTCTCCTCTCCTCTCTTTTCCTTCCTTTCTCTCCCTCATCGACCATCTTTCCTTCTTTTTTCTTCCCCCCATTCACTCTTTTTTGTTTTCCTTTCTATTCTCTCGTTTATCCTCACCCCAGTCGATCGTTTCACTCTTTCACGATCGACCTCTCCCTTACTCAGTATCTTGCGCACTTTTTCTCGCTTACCTCTGGACGGTGATCGTTCATTTGTTCTCCCTCAATATCAGAACCTTGATCGATCCTTCCCCAGCTGCGAAGATCCTGAATTTCATTCATCACCCAAAGCTGCATAGGTCGGCTTATTTTTATCTTTTCCCCTCGGAAGATTCTTTTCTTTGACGCTTCTGCGACGCGATCATCTATATCCGCTTAAGCTTGCTGGTCTGGTAAATCTCCCGGACCGACTCCATCTCTCAACTTCCTGCCTAAGCGCTGCCACTCGTTTGAAAACCACCAATCCTTTTTTGACTCCTCTTTGGCGCTTGAAGCTGCTATCGAGAGTATCAGACATCTCCTTTCTTTTACTTTTTTGACCTTGTCGACCGGATCGTCACAACTTTCTCCCCTTTTTTGAGAATTTCTTCAAAAAGCCTCATCTACTTCACCCCCATCAATTGGTCGAATACTCCTTTCCCTACCTCATTTCCATTATCTATCTTTTTTCTCGGTCAATCCCTGCAAACCATGTCCGTTCCTGATCCGTCGGCTACGCCGACTATTTCCACTGCTATGGCCCCGTCTCCTTCATCCGCCGACGAGACCCCGTCCCCGACGGCCTCGAATGCCACCACGTCCTCCGCCAACCGGCGCCCTCAGCGAAAGAGCACCTTGACCCAACAACAGAAGAACAACAAGCGCCAACGCGCCACCCAGGACCAATTGGTCACTCTGGAAGTGGAATTCAACAAGAACCCTACGCCGACCGCGGCCACGCGGGAAAGAATTGCCCAGGATATCAACATGACTGAGCGGTCGGTTCAGATTTGGTTTCAAAACAGGTGCGTTCTCGGGAAATTATTGCGCAGTGATGGTAGGAGACTAGCAGGTTTGCTAACGACAGTCTAGACGTGCCAAGATCAAGATGCTTGCGAAGAAGAGCATTGAAACCGGCGAAGGCTGCGACTCGATCCCCGAATCGATGCGCCAGTACCTGGCCATGCAATTTGATCCGAGCAAACCTGGTGCGCGCGATCCTTTTGGCCGCACCGGAGGCTACGGAACCAGCGGCGCATTCCCCAACGAAGCCACTCCCTCGGGGAAGGTGGTGATCCACCACTTCACCTGTCGATCCCTGACAATCGGTAGCTGGCGGCGCATCGGACAGAATGCCATGGACCTGGTCGTCTTTTACTCCCCGGAGAAGGCCTGCATGACGTATTACATCAACAATGACTCGGCCGGATACAAGATCGAATACCCCTTTTCCCATATCAAGAACATCACCCTGGAGTCCGGAGACCAATCCAACCAGGCCAGTGGCGTCCCCTCTCGTCCTGGTGGTCTCGTGGTGGAACTGAACCGCCCACCCATGTTTTACATGGATTCCTCCAACTCGGGTGGTTTCTACCAGTGCGGCGATTTCACGGAGGACCAGCAGGCGAGTCAGTTGATGGTTCACCACCTCGGAGGTCACCCCAAGGTTCTCAGCGTTCAATTGGCCAAGCTGGTGTCGTTGGAGTCCTTCCAGAACCGTCTGGCCTACGGCAACTTGCCCATGAACGCACCTGTTTCTACGCCTCCCTTCATTCAGCGGCCCGCCTCGCAACCGAACCAGTTTGCGCCGCCGCCGGCCTACCTGGGCCTGTTCCAGGACAACCACTCGCATCTGACCGTCCAGGCGGCTCGAGGACACAAGCGTCAGCGCAGCCGGTCCGTTCCCGTGGCCGTCGACTTTTCTGCCATGCAGGCGCCGCTGCCTTCGTACAACATGCCACAGACCCCGTCTCCTTTCCATCACGCGGAGTCGAGCATCTATGCGCCGGTTCCTCAGCAGGCCCATCCGTTGGCGATGAACCTCCGTATCGATACCTCTGCCGCCTACGGATTTGACCCGCGCCATCCCATGTCGGCGGCCACGACGGCCTCTCCTTCCGATTTTGCCAGCCCTTCCCTTTTCACGGCCGGGGCGGGTGATTCCACTCCCGTTGCCTCAAACATGGGCACTCCGTTTAACATGTCCTTTGTTTCTCCCCAGGTTGATTCGTCGAGCCTGGCGCAGTCGACATCCCCGTACTCCGCCGTCGGCCATGCTGACCCCTTGATCGCGGACCATTCGCCTCCGCTGTCAACGATGCATCACGCATCCCAGGAAATGTATGGCTTGGGTAACGACCACCAGGCCAACTTTGCCGACGAGGGCATGTCGATGAACAACATGTATCCCAAGCATAACATGAACTTCACCGTGCCGACCTCGATGGGATTTGAGGGCAACACTTTTGATTTGCCCATCCAGAGTGTTGGGAGCCATTCTTCCCCTGGCGTCCAGGGCAACTACCAAGGCATGAGCTCTTTGGACAATGTCGACCCCAACACTATGGGCCCGAGATCGTGAACAAGTCTATCTGATACCGCTTAGTCTGAGTGACTCATTTTGATGTTTGAAACCATAATATGTCAGCTACTGCTCTTGCGATGACAGAATGTGGCGTTTATGGCTCGATCCTCGTCCGTAGAAGATCTTTCTGCTCGAACGACACGGATATCACCTATATCCAATAGGCAACCCCATTGTTGCCTTGATCATTTTACGCGAACGTCCCTTTCGAGGGCTCGGCAAATTTGAGGCAGTTCTGTGCCTCATTTGTTGATGATGATGAAGAGGACATATCCATTTCTTTTTCTTTTGATATGCTCCCATATTTTTTTTTTTCTTTTGGACTTTTTTGACACTTCTGATCTTTTGTGATTTCTTTTCATTCTTCTTTGATTCCTTTTTGGATTTTTTTTTTTTTGGTGTATTAATACCCTTCTCCTGTAGGGCTGGTCCTTGAGCGTTTTCCCTACCTTTTTACCCAGTCTGACTGGGCTTTTCCATTCTTCTCCCCCTTTTTATCTTTTCTTCTTTCTTCTCTTCTTTTATATATTGGACCGGGGCCTTTTTAACGTGGTTATGCCAGAAAGCCATTCAGTTGGCGAGATTCACTTGGATTTCCTTTTCCTTGGTTCATTTGGGTCGGCGGGTTAGGAATTGTTTGCATATTTCCCTTTGTGATGGTCATCTTTTTTGGGTGACTTGTGGTCTGAGTTGGAATCCTTGGTCGATGATGCATTAGCTAGTTGAAGTGCCGGCTCATAGTCGGCACTAGTCGTCGCGAAGCTGAGACATTCTTCGCGACGACAGTAGAGGAACAATTCAATCCAGATCATGATCTCCATCTGCTTCCGCGTAGTCATCGGTAGGACTTGACGATCGAGTATCAGTAATATCAGTACAGTCTATAACTAGTCTACATGGGTATCTCTAAACACAGCTCATCCCGCGCAATTACTGAGCCAACCACCCCTTAGGCGCGGGGGCCTTCAACCCCCTCGACTCACGCAGATACATTTCCAACCACGCTTCCATCTTCTCCAGGACATTCAAATCCTCCCTCCCTCGTCGCGGATCAACCCCCTCCGTCACCCCGTCCCGACACCAAACACTCCACGCCCCCATCTGCGCCGCCATCAACACATCCGTGCCCAACCGATCCCCCACGACGGCAATCTCCTCCGGCCCCTTCACGACCCCCCGCTCCGTAAACCACGCCAGGACCTCCCGTCCACAGAACGGTTTCTTCTCGCTCCCCTGCGGTAGTCGGAACACGGGGATCCGGAGCCCCGAGAGCCCGTTTTCTTGCAGTTCGGTGATCTCAGAGTCGTAGCGAGGGTGGGAACCTGCACGGTTCGACACGATTAGGATCGAGTGAGGGGCGGAGTGCATGTTGAAAGGTGAGGTTGGGGAGGTCCGGAGGGTGGTTAGTTTGTTGAGGATTTGCGGTGGGAAGGAGGTGGTTTTTGCGGCGCAGAGCGTGTTGTCTTTGTCGAGGATTAGGGCGCGGATTGTGATTGGTTTCTTTGGGGTTGGGTTTGTCGTGGACGAGGAGGTGGGATTGGTATATGAGGATGCGAGAACCGGTCCGATTTGTTCTGGGAGATGCGTGATGGTCGGGATGGTGAGGTGCGGGAGGAATTGAGCGGGGGATTTGAGGAGGGTGGAGACGGCGAGGTTGAAGGCTCGGAGGTTGCTGTTTGGTGGGTTCATTTTGATGTATCCATTAATTAATTGATGCGTAGATGCAGATGTTCGGAGTACTCCGTAAAGAGAACGAGAGGAAGGAGAGAGGAGATCCTGCCGGGCGGAAGACTCAAGCAAAGCAAGCTAAGGCAGAGCCGCAAAACTTCCCTCCGCCGGCGGAAACTTCCCTCCCTCTTTCTGTCTACCTCTCCACGTCCTCGAACCTCTCCATCCCGCCTTGTGTGTTTCAACTGGTCTTGTTCAGACCTAATCAATTGCGCTCGTGTTCTTCATCGAGCGATCTTCTCTTCCTCGATCGGTTCCCTTCGGATTAAAAACTACGACACAGAATGGGCAAGCTCACCAGCACGATCGGAATTCCGATCAAATTGCTCAATGAAGCGCAGGTTCGTTCGCATCCCCCTCTTTCCCCTTCTGTGTCTATCTGATTTCGAGTCCGGATATGCAAGCGATGCAATACAGCTAACAGATCTGCTATAGGGCCACGTCGTCACGCTAGAGATCACTTCGGGGGTGGTGTACCGCGGAAAACTTCTCGAGGGTTGGTCTTTCTTTCCCACGCCCCTCGAACCATACTTCTGAAATATGCTATACAATCGATATCCTGGAATAAATCAACGCTAACCATGATCCTCTGATCTACAGCCGAGGATAACATGAACGTCCAACTGAAAGATATCACCGTCACTGCGCGCGACGGTCGCGTGTCGCATCTCGACCAGGTGTATATCCGCGGCAGCCACGTGCGGTTCTTCATCGTGCCGGATATGTTGCGGTATGTTTCCTCCTTCTATATCTCTTGGGGGATCTGAGAGAGAGATTCCGGATGGAAGTGAGTGGCATGCTAATTGATTCTATAGAAACGCGCCCATGTTCCGTTCTCGTGGCCAGCGCGGCAGAGGTGTCGGTCTTGCTCGTGGTAAGGCGACGGTGCAGCGTGCGAGGGGCCAGAGGAGAGGGTAGTATGAAGTTGGCTGTGAGGGGGGCTTCTTTTTTTTATCATTACATTTTTTACTTGAATAAATGGCGGCGTTTCTTTTGTGAGTTTGTTTGTTATAATGGTCTTTGATCGGTCGGTCGGTCGGTCTATCTATCTACCGCTTAGATTCATTGGTCGAGGGAAAAGAAAGGAAATACCTAGGTATGAATTCGGTTCGGATGATTGTGTTTCTTGTAGTGGTTTTGTTTAGTTGTAGGAGGTTGATTGGTGTTTGTAGAGCTGGAGCTGGAGCTGGAGCTGTTAGTCTGGTACTGATTGATGGTCATAGGAACTGAGGGAAGAAGTCCGACGGAGCTTTTTTTGCTCTCCGCTCGTCGCTCGTCTTCCCGCATTCATCCTTCTTCTTTCTCTTTTACTTCGTACACTCCCTTACCTACCTACCTACCTACCTTTCTTAATAGAAGCTTCACAATTCAACAGCGCATGACCTAACTGACGCAAACAATCCAAAATGCCCACCACCACCACCACCTCCCAAGAACCGTCCCATCAACAAAAACAACAACGAATCCCCAACCCCCGCCGCCTCCTCATCCTCTCGCCCTCTTCGCATTCCCCCACCACCATCCCTCCCTTCCTTCACGCCCTCACCGGCACCCCGGTCCTCGAGGCCCCGTCTACATCTACGACTACATCTACAGCTACGTCATCGGCGCCCTCGAACGAAGCAACAACAACAACAACAACAACACAGCCGAGTTTCGCAGGCTACACGACCCATCCGCCCCTGCAGATTCGCAATCGGTATTATGTCGCCGAGGTACCGGTCTGGGTAGATGAGATTGCGCTGGAGGGGACGGCAACGTCAACGGTAACGGTAACCTCCACCTCCAGCTCGACCTCCACAGCAGAACCAGGATCAGGACCAGATGCAGATGTGCAGTCCCAATCCGAGAACAAATCCAAAGAAGAGCAAGAACAAGAGCCCGAACCCATCACCACGCCCTCGCTCTGGAAAAAGGAATTCTCAGGCCCAGAAGCCCAAGTCGTGAGAGATGCTATCGGCGCCGTGGTGTTGTGTATCGTGAATCCGACTTCCAATTCCATTTCCACTTCCACCTCTTCTTCTTCGGAATCAAAGACGGAGATAGCCCCGGAGACGCAGACGCATGTTGATCGGCTAAAGGAGTTTCTGCGCGCGGTCGGAGACGTGCGCGCCTTGGTTGAAGAGGAGAGGGGTGGGATGGGCGATGTACCTGGGTTGGTGGTTTTGGTAGGAGGAGGAGAAGGGACGCAAGCTGCGACGGCGCAGCAGCAGAAGAAGAAGCAGGATCTAGGAAGTGGGCAGGAATCGGGGATGGGGGATTTAAGTGGTGATTTGGGTGCGGATCTAGATCTGGATACCGATGCCGAGGAACCGTTCTCGGTCCCCTGGTGGGAAGACCAATTATATGAGATGGGGTTGATCGGGATGGAGGTTGTTAATTGGGATCCGAAGGCTGGAGGGGAGGAGACGGAGGAGAGGAATCAGTTTGGAGGTATGTTTCTCACTCTCAACGTCATCTGTTTCTGTTCTCGCTCTACTAGCGTAGGTCTGGATCGGATATGGCTAACATGATAAACAGAATATCAAGGACTGCGACGCATCCGCGAAGTGCTGGAAACGCACGACTGGGCGCCATCATCTCTCTCCGACGACGAAGACAAGGACGGCGATGACGAGGCCGACGAGATCGAGAAGATGTTGCTTGGGGCGGACGCCGACGAGGACGAGGACACGGGCTTTGGGCTGGAAGTCAACGAGCTGGAGCGCGAGATGGTGGGGTTGCGGTTTGCCATTGAGCGAGGTGGAGGGAGTGGGCGGGCGGATGAGGACTCGCAGGACGAAGGCGATGATGAATTGAGGGTCGATGCGGTCGAGGCGTTGATGTTGCGGATGGCTGCTATTAGAGGTATTCCCCTTCCCCCTCCTTCTTTGTGATATTCGCGTTGTATATCCTCGTTTTACCTTGTTTATTCTGGCACACGAGCTGGCTGGTTGACTGACTGACTAACTGATGAACAGATATGAGCGACGAACTACCCGAACATGAACGCAAACGATTCGCGGCCAAGGCTGTACGAGATATTATGAAGGAGATATGATCTACCCTAGTAGGAATTGGAATAGCATAGAGCATATAACATCTAGTGACCGACTAGCTAGTGAAAAGGAACTGTATACTACAATTAACATTAGTATATTACCTACCTCCCCCCTATCTGTCTAAATATGCTATGCTACAGCACCTATACGTCCACTCAAAAACCGGTCACAACCATACTATCAATCCCGATCTCAAAAGATATCAAAACTAGACCCTGATCCCATGTTCCAGAGGACACTGTCTAGTCTAGAGAAGCAAAAAGAGAACAAGCCATCTACTCTGCCCTCTTCTTCAGCACCTTCTTGCGCTGCGCAATCATGTGCGTGTATAGAATATACGATCCTGTTTAGCTCCGGTTAGCACTGGTCCAGTTATCCGGTGGACAGTCATCCACACGACACCACACTATAAATAAATAGAAAGGAATAAGAGAGGTAGACGTACCAGGAACATAAATACCCAACACGGCAATCAAAAACCACCGATACAGCGGCTCCAACTCGCCCGCCGGTGCAAGCGCCTTCACGACAAGCACACACTCGCTCGTGATGCCGAGCGGGTAGAGGATGTAGAAAGTATTATATCTGATAACCAGTCAGTCGTCAGTTCCCTCTCCCCCCAAAAAACAAATCCAATGACCAATCCAGCCACAAACTGAAGATGCGAGGGAATGGCAAAAAAAAAGAGACTAACCTCAACCAAGTCCACCACCCCGGCACGCCCGTGCCCAGAACCTGCAACGCAAAGAACCCATACCGAATACACTCCGTAACGCCCCATGCGGTCAAACAGCCCAAGAAACCGAAATCACCGGTCTGCGCGCCCTTCTCCACACTGCCGACGATGTCGCCGCCGAACAGGTACATGACGCCCCAGACGACCAGCAGACGGCTGGCGACTTGCATGGCGGTGGTGAAGATCGGGGCGCGCACGAGGCCGAGCAGGCTATGTAGGATCTCGAGTGTGGCGAGGGATTGCGTGCCTAGAAGCAGCGGGGAGTAGATGTCGTTGAAGATGGAGGGGAGGGCGGTGTTAACGACGGCGTCGGAGTCGGTGTTGCTGGTCGCGGGTAGGATCACGGTGGTGAGGAGGAGGTAGAGGCCACGGACGGTGCAGGTGGCCCAGAGGGCGAAGCTGAGGGCATTGTAGAGGATGAGGTAGAGGCGGGTGAGGCCTTTGGGGCCTTTGGAGGGTTGTTTGGGAGGCATTTTTGGTAGCTCGAATCAGTTGGATATGGGTCGGTCGGTCTGGATGGATGGATGATGGATGTGACAATTGGAATAGATCAATTGACTTCTCTGGTCGGTTTCTTCCAGGTGAAAAAGAGCCGTACGCCGATGGGATGAGACTCGGCGACGCGAAATCTTCATGGACGCCAATCTGTCCGCATGTTGAATTGTTGAGGTTGAGCGCGCGCGCTTATGTAAGGCATGTTTGGTCCGAGGTTGTTCTGGATGGGGGCCTGTGATTGGTCGGCGGGCGGATGGTTTTTGAGGCCGGAAAGACGGGATTTTGAGACTGTCTGATCGTGAAAGAGGATTGATTTGGGGAGGGATTGTAGACGTCACGTGTACTGTCAATGGATGGACGAGATAGTAGGCAGGTCTATACGGAGTATGGAGTATGGAGTATGGAGTAGGTGCATCGGCAGTAGTGAGAATTCCGGCATAAAGACCAAACAGGGGTAGGGATCATGAGATGGGATGCACCTCGGCATATCGCTAATTGATGCCAATTTGAGTGCCCGGTCGTACTACCTCCCTGCTCTTAACGAAAAGAGTAAGTGCCGTCGACGGAGACGACACTCTCTGGCAGCGTCCAGCGGCGTAAGCTGACATTCCCGCCCGGCGAAAGGAAAAGTACGACATACGTCAGGTTCCCTCGGGCTGCAGGGTGATGTCATCGGATCACACGCAGATGGAAGGATTCCAGTCCCTCCACCGACATCACCAGTCCAGATGAGGGAAACTATATCAGTATATAGTCTTCAACCGAGGACCGTTAGAATGCTTAACTGGGATTATCTTTGCAACGGTGGACCGAGTCCGAACTTTTAACTACTAGAAGTGTACTCCGTAAGTTCTTCAAGGGAGTGGAGCGAAGGCTAACCCCAGTTGAGTTGACAGGGCCTGCACGAGCCATCATTCTGGACTGTATGGAGTACTTCGTACAGAATACAACGTATACTCAAGAGGAATTCGCATTCCCGGAGCATGTCCAATCCTGGCCGGGACCGCGAAGTGTCTGGAATGCGGCCCAAGCTTCGCGGGTCTTGGCACCGCATCCGCCAACGTCAGCGGCTGCCGCGGATTGGCGGCCGGTCGGCCCCGCCCTGATGTCACCGCTCCACTTTGTGTCTCATGATTGGCCGCGTCGAGAAACCGCGAGCCAAAAGCCAGGCTCCTCAGGTTCCTCGAGTTCACGGCTCGCCTTTATGAACCCCACGATTGCCTGCTTGGTTCGGCTGGAAAGCGTGGAAAAATCGCCAGAATCCAGAATCCCAGAAGCAGGATCGACTCCTGGCCGGTCGCCCGTTTGCAAATGTACGCCAGTCTCTTCTGTAGCAACTCCGTCATTCCGTCGGACGAGCTGGTGATTACTTATTATAGCCTTATGGGCTATGACATCTTTTCGGCCCAGTTGAACCGTCACCCCGCAGTTGGCAGGCTACCGACTAGGAGTAGCTGAGAAGACCCTCCGCTCGGGGAACTGGAAACCAAAATGAAGGCCAAAAACGAAAAAAAAAAAAAAAAAAAAAAAGGATTAAAAGAAAGGAAAGGATAGGGTCCTGAGGGGTGATCTGGGTGGCTGGTCTGCGCCATTTCTCGGGGATCACGATGCTGCAACTTGTCCTCCCTTGGTCATCCCGCCAGGTTGTCGCAGTCACTTGGTCCTTGGTCCTTTTCTCCCCTTCTTTTCTTTTTCTCTCTTTTCGTCTGACCATTTCAACTGACCGCACATAACATACAGAAACCCCGGAGTGGTCCGACGGCCATCCACGGTGCAGCCAAAGGGTATGGAAGAGCATCGTCACGGGCTCACGATACCTTCCCACGTGTCCAGCGTCGTCATTGGCAGGGTCAGCTCCCGATGATGTAAACTGATTAGTCAGAGCCCGTAGGTTCGAAAGGGTGAGTGGGGCTCACCCGTCGGCCAATGATAGGTGGGCATTCGATCTAAATCGACGTCAGCGGTGGTCTGATGAGTTCAACGTGCATCCCACACCAAAGTGGGGTTGGCGCTGCTTTTGGCCCTACACAATCTCTCATTTTAGATCTTCGATGGAAGAATCATTGAAACTGAACAGATGGAAAAGGGCGCTAGGATAGTTCCCATAGATAAAATTCTCGAGGAGTCGAGAATGGGAAGACTTCAAGACATCAGCCATGACGAGCGTTGGCGTGACTGTTTGCCTTTTTTTTTTTCTTCTGGTGGTTCCCCACAATAACAGTCCAATCGGTTGCCCTGGTTTTGGTGGGATGTTTAGCATGTCTTTCAATTGAAAAAAAAAATCCAGCAATGACGATGATATGATATATCGCAATCTCCAACCTCACAGGGCAACGTAGGCGGTATTCACACCACTGCGTACGGAATATATACTCGATCTGATAGGAATATCAACCTCTAGCATCGACCTTGCAGAATATCTGGCGGCTGTCGTCCTCTCTCTTTTAATCCGCCGTATTCTCCTATTCTTCTGCTCGACTCTCTGGCCTCTGCTCGACCAAACCACAGAACGGGTTGATCATCGTCGGTCTGCAATGCGATTCCCCACCAGTCGAGCCTCCATTCTCCCCCTGCTATACCGATTAGGCGCAGTCCACTTGGTCGGTGTCCAATGAGGTTGACCGCCTCTTGGGAAATCGCTCGACGAAGAATTCCGAACGAGACGGTATCCAGGGTGATTGAGGGGTGAACGGCTCCTTGGGGACGGATTGGATATTCGGAAAACCTCAATCTCAGATGTAAGAACGTAATTTCTTTGGTATTATGATTTAATTCTCCCCCCAGACCAAATAATCCAATGGTACCTGGAGGAGGCCTTCAGAGCGAAGTCTCGGACATGCGACGGTAAACCCACTTTGTTCCTCCCCTCCTTTTCTTTTTTTTTCTTTTTCTTTTTTTTTTCCCCTTCCCTTCCCCTCCACTTTCTTTGGTTCATCGCCAACGCGCTCGAGGAGAAAATAGAACAGAGGAAAAGAGGGAGGGAGAGAAAAAAAGAAAAAAGAAAAAAGGCCCGCCGATAAACCCATCGGGTGCACTTTTTTCTCTTCTTCTCTGCTTCCATCGGCGTCACTCCTCTTGACTCTTCCCTCCTCCACTCCGAACACCCACCAGCCTAATCTACCTAATCCATCCTCTTCTCTTTCTTCTCTTCCTCTCCCCCTCTTTTCCATCCGTTTGATCCTTTTTATTCCCGCATTTTTTTTAATAATTATTTTCCTTTTTGTTTTTTCACCTTTCTTGTCACTTTTGATACCGTTTATTCTCGGCTTAATTAGCAGCCTCATTTCGCAATATACCCGGCGTTGGGGCGGGCGAACTGACATCAGGTGGGAGAAAAAAAATCCAATACCCCTCGGCGTTTGTTTCTGATGAACGAGTGGATGCTCGTCTTGACGATGGATTTGCTTGCTTCCATGCTCTGCTCTGCTCGATCTGATTTGCGATGATTTGATGGAATTAAATCATTGCCGGACTGATTGGATGGGAATGCCGTCAATCTACCTTACCTACCTTTTTACCTTACTTACCCCTCCCTCTGTTATTCTTGCCCTTTTTCCCTCGTCTGATTGTACTTCTTCCCTTTCGACCTATCCTCCCATGTGGACCCATCATCCACTTCGGGCTGTGGCTGGTTGATATTGGCTCTCGGCTTCTGTTCTTCTCACCCACCCTTCATTTCACAACTCAACTCCCCTTGTTCCTCCTCTTCCGTCGAGATCTACCTGTCAGACTCGTTAGATTTCTTTCTCCTCTGTTGATTTCGGGATTTCCCTGTCCTCTTGTCCATCCACACCCCTGCTCTACTTCTCGATCTGTGTGTGTGCCCTTTCGCCACGCCACCTGCTTCCCCTCCGGTGAATTCATTGTCTGCCCTACCCTATCTTGACTCTTGTAAACCGTTTTTCTGCCTCGTTGACCTGCTTTCCCTCTCGTGCCTTCTCTCCTTCCTCTCCTCTCTGCGCCCTTCCCGCGTAATATCTTTATTGCGTAGGGCAACATGTTGCAAATCCAGATCAAGTCGAGCTTCTGTAACGTTCGTCATGGGTTCGTGGACTGTCAAACTGACCTCGAATTTTTTTGAATCTCACAGATCGCTCTGTAATTTCAGTACTCGCGTGGACATTTAAAAGGAAACATCCCTTGGGGATCCGGATCACTTAAAAAAAAGGCGGATAACTACGTGCCCTACTCTCGTCACGAACCTTCACCGTTCGGCACTCCTCGGACCATCACTACATTAGTGTTTGCGAACTATTGTGAGGGGTGTTGCGTTCCCATTACAAATCATCACCGATCAAGGGAAACTTGCAGATCACATATCTCACATCATGGCACCGACCACCACCACCAAGACTGTGGAGGAACCTGTATGTTGTGTGCCCATTTATGCGTCAAACTCCGCTAACTGTTCTCCAGCCCAAGACCCAGCCCCAGTCTCAGCCTCAGTCCCAGTCCCAGCCCCAGTCCCAGTCGCCGTCTCAATCTAAGCCTCAGACTCAGCAGCCGCCTAAGGAGGAGGAGACCCCCGCCGACCTTGCTTCAATGCCAGACCACATCGACCAGAACACATTCGACCAGATCCTCGAGATGGACGACGACGACGACGACCGGGATTTCAGTAAGGGCATTGTTTTGGGCTTCTTCGATCAGGCGGAAAGCACCTTCGAGAAGATGGAGAAGGCCTTGTAAGTGTTTCTTATCATTTGGGTCGTTTCATCTGGTTCTTGAATCCGAGGAAGCAGGGGCAGAGACTAACTCTCCAACAGAGAGGACAAGAAACTGGCAGAGCTGTCGTCACTCGGTCACTTCCTGAAAGGATCGTCGGCCACTCTGGGCCTGATCAAGGTCAAGGACGCATGCGAGAAGATTCAGCACTTCGGCGCCGGCAAGGACGAGACGGGCTCGACCGACGAACCCGACGATGAGGTGTCCCTGAAGAAAATTGACAAGACTCTCACACAGGCCAAGAAGGACTACAAGGAAGTAGAGAAATCCCTCCGCAAATTCTTCGGGGAATCCTAAGTTTGATCGTTGAGTGTTATCTTTTTTCTTTTTTTTTTTTTGACGTTATCTTTTTTTTTTTTCAATCTCAATTTTCAACCTTTTTTTCTTCCTCTCTTCTTTTCATGTTCTTGGGTTGTTGAACATATGGAGAATTAGAAACGATGATATTTGTCTCTTGAAACTGAATATACCATGTGCTTTCTTCTTCCTCTGGCTCTATTGATTCAATATTTCCCATCAACTCCAAAAAAACCGTGAACAAATGAGTCTCTTTGGCATGCACAGAAATACCCCCCAATCTACGTGATGAGCAATGATATCCTGCTCGGATTTCCATATCTATTTCACCCTTGACATTAAAAAATGAAACATCACGTTCGATCTGGACTGGACATGAGACTGCTAGTACATGTCTACCTACCTTTCTTCCATCCTGTATAACTAGTAATTCTTTTGCTGGCCGCGCTTTACTTGATACATACAAGTAGGCATGAATATTTTGAGTTAGCACTGCCCTGCGGCATCAAAAAGAGAAAATCATGTGATGCCTAAATTTGAATTATTCACTGGGTAATCTTAGCATTTAAATGATCTAGTCACATGTTTCTTTTTTAGTGTTCAAGATCGCACACTTGATCTGCACCTGCTTCATCTTACCTACACCATTATATACTGTCTCCAGACAACGACGGCAACAGATCTGATGCTACTCAATAGAGGTTTATGTTCACTATCTACACTAATTCGTACATATAAGTTGTTTCGTTACTCATAACACCCCGATAACACCCCGTCTCAAGGTAAGTCCAGGCAGCACCTGGTCCCTTCTCATCCATACAAACGATCCATCTGGACTATACCCATCGTCGTCTGACTCTCCGACGAGATCTGCGGCACCAGTCTCTCCGCCGGTTCGGCCACGTAGCCGGATGGCGTAGATGCAGCTTCTCGCGGAGCGACGCGCTGCGGCGACGAACCCATTGCGTATCTAGGACTAGCGGGCTAGAATCGTGCCCCTCGTCGAACACCAACTCGGCGTGTTCGTGTTCGTCGTCATCCTCCGTCGACCCGGGCGTTCTCCGGACGCGGATCTGCGCGACCTGCGCGTAGGTAGGTGCTCGAGCGCGACCAGCTCGCCGACGGTGCTCCAGCTCCCCGAGGTGTGGCGGTTGCGGACCACGTAGAAGACGTGGATGAGGAGGGCCGACATGGGGAGGAAACTGGCCAGGAAGTTTTGCATGGAGAAGCTGCTAATTTTCATCTCTGCGGGAATGCCGAGTTGCTGGATGTGGGAACCCATGACGGGGTGCGGCCGCCAAACAAGACATTGTACTTGTCTCTGAATACCGTCGTTCGGATTCATGCAGCCTGGACTGTATAGCCAAATACTGCTCTAGAAGCTTCCGGCGCGTTTGTCGTCTCCAATGAGGCCGCCTATACTGCCAGCTCCGAATTTGGGTGGATTGAGGTGAATCACACGATTTCCTCTGACGCCGCTAGTCGTTGTGGCTCTGCGCAGCGAGTGATAGACATGGCGTTCGATCATCGACCTGATTAGATGTCAAGCTCTCCTGCGTCCTCAGGGTCACAGTAGATGCTGGTTGCGGCTGCAGCGATCCCCCGTGATTGGGCGAGGAGCACGGGGCCCCGGCGGCAACCACAAGCGCCCTTTTGACTCTCGGATGATCTCCATCCCTTCCTCTTCCTCCCCCCCCCCGTTCTCCATGTTGACATATCCATCAAATCATGTAATTCCATCTCGTGCTATCTCGTTCTACCCTCTCGTTTCAGCTCTTTGAACAGCTCAGTGTTTCAGTACCTTGTTATTCTTTAATTCGCCGCTTGGTCTTCTCGCGAATCGACCGATAATGCAAATCTCCGGATGCGCTTGCGCGCCCCGTCTCACATCAGGAAACAGCACCAAGAATGCTTAGCCACTCGCCCCATTACCGCTTCGGCAGGTTCTCTCTCTCCACGACCGGTCTTATAGTGTGCATCCTCTCGGCCCTGTACCTTCTCTCTCTTCGCTACTACCACGGCGCTAGCTATCGCGACCCCACATCCTACTTCTTCGATGCGACTCGTGCTTACGAGAAGTTGTATTCATCCAATCGAATAACGGAAGCGGAGGCGTATCTGAGTGCGGCTGGCGATGTCAAATCCCCGGCGAGGTTACCCGGAGAGAAACCTACGATATGCGTCGGCATAGTGACGGTTCGTCGACGCGGTGATCAATATGTCGGCCTGACCGTCGCGTCTCTTCTGGAGGGTCTCAGCGGTCCCGAAAGAAAGAGCGTATTCCTCGATCTCCTTGTTGGAAATTCCGACCCGACAGAGCATCCGATCTACTCAGAGAATTGGGCCGAAACGCTGCCCGATCGCCTCCTAACCTACTCGAAAGACGACTCCGACTTCGAACAAATACAGAAATGGGAGGAAGGCGGATGGTATCGGAACAAGACGATTTACGACTATACGCATGGATGAAGAATTGCTATGAGACGGGTGCGGAATATGTCGCGATGGTTGAAGACGATACCTTGGCGGTTAAGGGCTGGCTCCCGTCCGCCTTGCAGGCTCTCAACACGGCCCAAGAGCGCAGTGCCGGTCGAGACTGGATTTATCTTCGCCTGTTCTATGCAGACGATCTCCTTGGCTGGAACTCCGAGGAGTAGCCGAGATATTGTTCTGGTCCCTGATCGTTTGGGCAATGCTTACGGGAGCTATGGTGGCAGCCAAGCGGACTTTCAAGACGCAGCTCAAGTCGGTACCCAACGGTGTCATCTGGATCACTTCCGGCATCTTCATTCCAGCTGCTATTGACCTCCATTTCATGGCTGGCCGGCAGACGATGTGGCCTATTGCTCCTGGTGTTCATGAGATGAACAAATATGGATGTTGCTCACAAGGCCTTGTTTTCCCTCGCTTCATCATCCCTTCCTTCCTTGAGAAGACCGACTTGACTACAAATTGGTTAGTTGATATGATGATCGAGACGATTGAGAACCGGGAAGAATGGACTTGCTGGGCTGTGGTTCCGAGGTGCAGAGTGACCAACGAGGGGTCGAGACCGGTCAATGTGTGGTATTTCATGGATGTTAATTCAGTATCTTCTCTCGGTATGATCTATTTTAGATTTTATCGTGCCTTGGTCTTTCTGCTCCTGGGGCATATCTTGTTCGGAGTTAACCGAACTGAACCAAACTAATGACTACTGAGACCAAACGCCGGACCTGCCGTGTCACAATATTGACTTCGGTCTCACCACTTGTACGCCTATAGGACCTGGACATCAGAAGCACGCCTCTTGCATGGACTCCCTGACTGGTTTCAACCAATGGAGGCGCCCAGCCTGAACCATCGATGAGGTGCATTTAGATATGGGACCATCTCTTCTATAGTTTGAGTCCACTCCCAACCACCGCGTCCGCTTTACCAATCGGCATGCCTGCGTTCAACATGGCGGTGGACAAGAATGCCGAGGTCGGCTACCGATCTAACCCCAGAAACAGCCTCTCCACGGCTGAGTAACGCATCAAATGCAATAGTTAACGAGTTCATTGCCTAACTAATGAAGGGGCCTGCATAAGAAACCGCAGCCATGTGATTGACCGGGATTTTATCCCCATTGCTCAGAGGAACTGAAGCTCATGCAAGGATGGGCGCCTCACTCCCAGCTAATATAAAACGACATGCAAGGGGCAGTCGATCGGAGCTCTGCCAAGCTGAAGAGGCTAAATTTGGCCCATGCCATTTTGCACCACGCGTTGAGAGCGCTTGTGGCGTACGGAGTACTTATCAGGAAAATGTGTGTGATGTATTCGAGAGGCTGATCTGATGACTAGTATGTGGGCATGAGATAGATCTGATATGGGAGAACGAGTTGCCACTTAACGTCTCGGCCCGTACAGTCTAATGGGGCCCAAATTTCACTAGTTTGAGCTTGTCTCACTTGGCTTATCCTCCGAGATGGATCGGGTCGAAGTAAGGTAATGAAAATCTTCCCTTTCTTTCATCTTGGTTGTTTCTTTTAGCTTTCAAATGAGAACGAAAGGTTCAATTGCGATGATCGTACTCACATAATTCACAGATCCGGAAAAATCAGTTTACTTGTTCTTCCCTCCTCAACATCCGCCCATACAATTTCATCTCGCCGGCATACGCAAGGACTTTCTCGAATCTCACTTCCAAAACATGCATGTCAGATCCAAAAAGAGCTGAAACTTTTCATTCTTACAGCACTAGCATGATGTCATAATTTCAATATAACTGCAGCTATGAAACCCCCCGCCCCCCTCTCCCCGCCATTCCTCACCTGTCTACTCCGTATGCCGGCGCTGCCACCACTGTTTCTTTACCACCACCAATCTATGCAAGTTTGCTTGCCTGTGACAAAAGGACCGTGCAGCACATGCCAGGACGCGCGTCCTGCTCAGCGCCCACTCCATGCACTCTATGCAGGAGATGCTGCAATGTGACGTCCTTTATGCCATGTTCAGCTTTTCTTTCTGAACGGCCGCCTCGAGGTCGTCATATGGGCAATCTGCAGTCTCGTTCTTGTCCAGCAGGAAGTACTGTCTGCTCTCGGTGGTACCCTCGCGGGCGTAGTCGCTAATGTCAGGGCTGTGAGGGATCTCATCGTACTTGTCGACGAGGCCACGCACGGTGCGGGTGGCGGACTCACGGTAGCGCGGGTCCTTGAAGATGATATCGAAGATCATGCGGGGCTGGTAGACCATGGCGAAGTTGGGAGCGCTGCGAGATCGGCGCTGCTTGTGGGCGGGGGTCAGGACGGCGAAGAAGGCCTCCAAGCCGTCGAAGTTCATGCACCATTGGCGGTTCTGCGTGTCGTGGGGGATCTTCTTGGGCCAGGGCTTGGGGTCGAGCTGACGGAGACGCTTGAGGAAAGACCAGAAGATCTTGTGGTATTCCTCGACGGAGCGTTCGATCTTGGGTGGCGGGCACAGCAACACAAGCGAGATGTTGCGACCACGGCTCTGGAGAATCTTGTGGTATTCGACAATGGCTTTGGCTCCGACCTTTGCGATCTCGAGGTTGTTCAGGTCCTCGGATTCCAGGAAGAGGAAGTCGAGCTCATTCGCCTTGTATCCTTTCGTACCATAGATACAAGGGAAAATCTTGTCCTTGGCGACCAGAGCGCCAGTGAAGTCGTCGTAGGCTTTGCGCTGCCAGGTGCTCTTGTCATATTTTTCCTCAACTTGGTAACTAGAGGGCCACAAAGTTAGTTGGTTGATGGGACGGAAAAATTGGGTCTGGGGCGCAAGTCATACCGGTCTAAAAGCTCGACGGAGACCTGATCCAAAAGTCTGTTTGCCTTCGCAGCACGGGAGCGTCCAAACGAAAACCAATCTGACAGACCCGACTTAATCTGGGACAGGTTGCTCAAAAGAGGATTGAGGAAGCCCTGGGAATTGTTGTGGACCTTGGAGACCACCAAGCCCAGGAAGAAGGTAAAAACATGGGTGATGAGAATCAGTGAAAACGGCTCCATATTGGAAAATAAAAGGAAATATCCCGAATTCGACAAGACAAAGAGGGAATTCGAATCTCTGTCAGAGACTTGATCCGTTGATCTGAAGTTAATGATCAATAGCAAGCTTGCCCAGAAACCAAGCCGGCTTTATACCAGACATCTTCACTATCAGGCGATTTTCGATGATGCTATGCCAATATGTCGGCGTCATATCCAGATTTCCGTACGGGGAAATTGATTCACCACGGTCTATGTTCATGTGCGCCGGCCTTGAACACTGGATCCTCCTTGCAGCCGGCAACCGTACGAGCAGTCTGGAACTGCATTCTTTCTTCCTCTTGGCCGACAACATCGATGACTTGTAGTCGCTTGGCTGCGTATACGGGGCAATGATCCACTGCCGGCTCTGTCGTGATTCATTGCCTTCAGCTTCTCTTGGGATGGTCCCCTCCTTACTGGGGAACATCTCAGCTCAGCTGGAAAAATTTCATACATCAGAGCCTCTTGGCAGATTAAATCAGATCCACCAGTGTCATAAGCAGGGCAGCCAGCCGCTCGCACTTCTCGGTTGGCTTCCCAAGGGCAGCGTTGCCCTTGCTTCTCTACGTCCCCGCTTACCTTGCGGGAGAAGATCGGAGGGAGGCGTACGTGGCTTTATGCCATCTCCAAACCATGGTGTGCGCCGGAATGTGTGATAATTCAGCCACACCGACACTCACAAATGTCGCACATGCGCCGAGGTATGCTTCAAAAGGGCAATGATGGCAATGGCTGGACCCACCTCCCAATAATACGCTGCAACGCAAGAATACTCCTTTCTCCAATGATTCCAGAATTGTCCCGGTCCACTCAGATGCAAGGGAATATTCAGCCGAAAAACTGAGCCGAAAGGGAGGCAAAGAAGAAAAAAAATTAAAAAAAATAAAAAAAATAAAGACACACACGGGACAAGAGAGAAATAGAGAGAACGAGAGAGAGCACGAAAGATGGCGGAGGGCCCGATTCGGTGACTCGAGCGTGGTGCTGACATTTCGCCATTCGAGTCCCCGCCCCTTCGAAGGAAATTAGCCCTAGAAAGGTCTATCGAGGAGGCTATTTGAGCCTTTGCTGTCCCCCTGTCGCTTTCTCCTATTTTTACTGGTCGCCAAAGTCTCCTGAATCATATCCTTGTTGGCTGCAGTCAAGACTCAAAACATGCCTGCATTTGGTTCCTCTACCGGAATTACAATCACACCCAACGACGGTGACAGCTCTATAGACGACGAGTACCAGGATGCGCTACGTCGGCATGGACTCGTTTTGAACGAGGCCGGCTTCGTTCGCTGGGAGAACAGTAACCCTAGGCATCCGAGAAATTGGAATGCGAAGCTTAAGACCTACGGCACCATCGTGATTTTGTTGCTGGAGTTCATCACCAGTGCCGTCGGCACGGCGGGCACTGCAGCCGCGCAGGAGATGCGGAACGACTTCTCGGTCGGCCTCGGCCTGTCCATCTTCTGTCTCACGTCGACGTACATGATCGGCCAGGGGATTGGCGGTGTGTTTTTCCCGCCGTACTCGGAGATCTGTGGCCGCAAGACCCTGTACATCGGGTCGACCTTAGTGTACTGTGTCTTCTCGATCATCACGGCGGCCGTCCATGCGCTTCCTGCCATCATCATTGCGCGGTTCCTGTCCGGGCTGGCCTCGGCAGTGCCTACGATCGTGGTGGCGGGGAGTATGGAGGACATGTACAATATGAAGGCGCGGGTGTGGATGATCTTCGTGTGGGCAGTGATTGGGAACGCGGCTGTTTGCGTCGGTCCTATCTACAGTGCCTATGTCACCCAGAACATGGGATGGTGAGTTCTGTTCCTTCTGGACAAGGCTTAAGCACAGATGATTAACTTCAATCTAGGCGTTGGGTCTTCTACCTCGCAGCCATCGGCCTCGGAATTCTCCTGGGATTCTGCCTGTTCCTGCACGAGACTCGCCCCAGTCTCCTGCTTGAACGCGAGGTGGCGATTCTGCGAAAGTCACAGCCGGGCAGAGACATCAAGCCTCTCAACCCCGACAAGACGCTGGACTTCAAGACCATGGTCACGGTCACTTGCGTTAGACCGGTGCGACTCTTACTCACCGAGCCTATCATCATGATGGTGTCCTTCATGGGTGCCGTCATCTGTGCCCTTTTCTACCTCCAGGCCGAGTCGTTGCCCTTGGTCTACGAGGCCTACGGCTGGCCCACGGCCACGGCATCGCTCGGTTTTATCCCGGTCCTTCTGGGTTGCGGGATGTCGACGTTCGTGCGTTTCTACGATCAGCATCATCTGGAGAAGATCGCGCGAAGCGGTCGAACTATCGAACCCGAGGACAAACTGATCGGGTTCGCCATTGCGACGCCCTGTCTGGCCGGTGGTAAGTCCATCTCCACATTTTGCCCTTGCCTTTCTTCCCAGTGACAACAAACTAACCCTCAAACAACAGGCCTCTGGCTCTTCGCCTGGACCATCCCACCCTTGACACAAGTCCACTGGATGGTGCCCATGGTCGCGCAGTTCTTCATCGGCTTCGCGCTGAACGAGGGCGTGTACACGCTGACGGGGTATCTCGCCGACAGCTACACGATCTACGCGGCATCGGGATTTGCCGGCCTGATCCTCGTGCGCGCGTCGACCTGCGCCGTCATCCTGCCGTTCACGCACCCCATGTACGTCAATCTGGGCTTCAACGTGGCGACGTCGATCCTGGCGGCCATCGCCACGCTGTTCTGCGTGGCGCCGGTGGTCTTCATCCGGTACGGCAAGCGGATCCGCGAGGCCAGTAAATTCGCGCGGCTGAGCCTGACGATGTACCACGACAACAAGGTGGAAGATGACGGGATGGATAAGGCAAAGGTGGACGAGAAAGTGGATTATGAAAAGTAGAGTCAGGCATTCTTTACAACACGTATGTACAGACCGAAGAATGATCGGCTCTAGATAAATAGAGAGATAGAGATAAAATCGGCCAGAAAAGGGGAAGCAGGGGGGGATACACAATTACTTCTCTTCCTTTCCCTTCCTTTCCCTTCCCTCAGGGTTTGTCGTACAGAATCGAAGGCCGATACAAACGCCTTCTTTATTTTTAATTTTTCTCCCCTCGACTCCGAGCAAACTCCATTTCGGGCGAGTTGTTGTTGCGACGGAGAGTTGGTTACACGACAGCTTGTGTTGCTGATCGATTGATATCTTTCAAACAAATTCCACCGAGGAGAATCCGTCGTTTGGTTGAACAAACGCGATTAAGAAGACCGGGAGGGAGGGGGCGTTTGATCGTCTTCTTCTCTTCTGTTCTGTCATGTCATATCCTCTCCACAAGCATTGCCAATATTCACATTCATTCATTTCCACCCAACCCGACAAGACCACGCCCAACCTAACCCAACCCCCGTAGACATCGTACTTCTGTCCTCGTCCTGTCAAATCCTCGACAACCCCGGTTGGTCTAGTCTGGACTGGACACTCTTAGTCTAGTCTGTCTCTCTCCACCGGGTACATACTTCCCGCCTACCAACGGTCCTGCAGACGGGTGGCATTGCAATCATTCCAATCATCATCCCGGATGCGATATGTACCGGGCCGAGCTGAGTAGCTTCTTCTTTTTTATTTGATTTTAGTGTCTCAAATTTGAATCTTTGGGCTTGGTTTGGTCGTTTAATCGTCCCTTGTCCGAATCCAATTCCTCGAGTGACTTGACTGGATTTGATTTGATTTGATTTGATATGGGACCGGTGGGGTCTGCTTGCTTGTCTGTCTGTCTGTCTGCTTGACATACAAGCACAGTACTATAGGTCGTTATTATCTATGCATTGGTTAATGTCTTGTCTCAGTTGTCTGATCTTATTTTCCTCGAGGCTAAGCCCATGACCGAGACTGAGACCGAGGCACGGAAAGACAAGACAAGGCAAGAAAAAACACATAATGAAATGACATAAGTGAATAAAATTGAAAAAAAAGTACTTTTATCTCCCCACCCTACCTTGTGCCTCTTGTTCCATTTACCCAATTCAGGCACTGGCCTGGTCGTAAAGTACGACTTTTTTTTCTTTTTCTTTGCCCCTCCATCCCTCCTTATACTCACCCGATCCCTAATCCTGATCCCAGTTCTAGTCATAAGACTACCTACCTCAGCAAAGCAATAGCAACCTGAAGAAAAGAAAAAGAAAAAGAAAAAAATGTCCCTGAACCCCGACCCGAACCTAAATCTACCCCTTGTCTGTAAACTCTGCTGTGTCACGATGGAGGGGGGGGGGGGGGGGGAGATATGTTCTGGGAATCGGAAGACAGGCGGATTTGATTTGAATTTGAATCGGAAATTAGATTTGAAATCGGGTTCGGATTTGTAAGTGTAGGGAACAAGATGGGATGGGTACGTACTTATTTTTCGGTTTGAGGGACCTATTGCTAAGGACCTTTCTACGGATCCCAAGGTAGGTATGTACACGATTGGATATGGAGGTGGGAGGCAGCAGCAGCTCCAGATCGATTTGATTTGATTTTTATTTTTATTTTTCCGGCTGTTTGGTCTGGTCTTGTGCTTCTTTTTCTTTTCCTTTCCCTATTTATTTATTCTGTTTGTCTGGGTGGTACTTCTTCCTCTTCTTCCTTTCTTCCTCTTGCTTTCTGTTCTTCCTTTTACCTATCTACCTTACTATCTATTCATCTACTTGGACTTTCTTCTTTCCTTCCTTCTGGACTCTTGGATTCATTCTACTTTTCTAGCCCTGCTTCCTTCCTTCCTTCCTTTCCATACTCACCTTCTTTGACCCCTGGTCTATTTCACATACTCCATACTCGGACCATTCGATTCGATCCAACTCAGTCCCATTCAATTCTATTGAATAACAAGCTGTTCCTATCGAAATGCCCCCCGTAGGCCCACGCGCCTCCAAAGAGGAATTCATGCAAGCGTTGGGCTTGAATTCTCAGAATCCGCAGCATGAGCAGTATTACCGCGCTATGAGGGTATGTGGATTTTCTTTCCTTCATTTTCGTTTTGTTCTGGTTGAAGTACTATGCTGTGTTGTGATTATTTGTTTTCACATTCATGTGTGGTCTATTTCCCTGCTCTATTTTATACTATACACTATACACCCCTACCCACCTCCTCTACAACAAAAGAAAAAGAGAAAGAGAAAGGAAAGAAAAGAAAGAAAAACCAAACATCCCCAAATCCCAAGACCAAGAAAAACACAACCAAACAACCATCCCGGAAAAAAAGGAAAGACACGATTATATATACATTCGCCTCACCAAACAAAAACAGGACGTAGCCATAATCATCTACAACCGTCTCAACGAAAACCCCTCGAACCTCCTCGACAGCGTGGCCACGGACCCAACGACCCGTCCCCCGTTCTTCTGGCACCATATCCGCCCGGACCGTCAGCACTGGGGCATCCTGGAGATCGTGTCGCATGCGGGACCCCTCACGGAGCCGTTCTTTGCGCGTGGCAACACCACCGGCGAGTATGGGCCGAATTGGGTCGCGGGGTGGTTGCTATACAGCGTGTTTCGGTCTAGGGATGTGCGCAATAATCGGAATCGGAGGAAGGGGGAGGAGCAGCAGGCTGGTATGTTTCTTTTTCCCTTTTTTTTCTTAATTTTTTTTTTTTTTTTTTTTTTTTTTTTTTTTTTGTCCTGGATTTTTGGTTGGGGAGGGGGGTGGAAGGAGAGGAAAGGGAAGGGAATTTTGGATGTTTGGCTGATAGAGTTGACGGGTAGGGCAAGCTTCGAAGACGGCGCCGTCAAAGTCGAAACAGGATGAGGGTCCGCCGAAGAAGGAGTATTATGATCCGGTGAGGAATGGGTGAGGGGATCCGAGAGAGAAAGAGAATGTCCTTAAGGTAGGAAGTGTGAGAATGAAAAGAAAGGAATCAAAATCAAGGTGGTCTCGAGTCATGGGCGATAGCGTTATCTGTATTCCAATACACCGGTCTAGTTGCCATCGTGCTCGTCGCCATCTAGATCGTCTTTCCGCTTGGATCCGTTCTTATGCGTGCGCTCCTTCTTCAGCGCCTCGGTCACGCGCTCGTCTTGCTCGTCTTTCTTCTCGTCCCAGTAGACGTCGTACTCGGCGGCGATGAGCTTGATCTCCTTGCGCAGGGTATTGCCCTCGTCGATCAGCGACTCCCACATGTTCAGATCGACGCCCTTCGCCTGATACAGCTTTTTCTGCCGCGCGTTGATCGTAAAGTCCAGTGCAGACCGGTACGAGATCTCCCGATTGTGGTAGAGAAACCAAAGATAGCCGCCCATCAGCGTCGTCAAACTGACCAGGTACGTCACCGGCTCCATCGTATCCCAGCCCAGATCCGTCTCGAATGTCAGCTTGTACACGAGATACCACCAGAACGAGAGGATGCCGAATCCGCCGATAGCCACGCGCTGCGCGCCCCGATGCGCTAACATATCGCACTCATGCTTGATCTCCGCAATGCTCTGGATATGCTTCGAGATGTTCCGCAGACGCATACGCAGGAAATGCGTGCGCTCGTCGAACGCAGGAACCGCCACGTGGATCTGGCGCAATCCCCCGGGCGAGCCCTCGATGCTGACGATGAACTCGCGTGCGCGAGACGCGTCACGGATGAAATCGCCCACCTCGGTGGATTGCGACCACCGCACGAAACGCTCCTCCTTGGACCCTGTGCCGGGCGCCGGGCGTCGCAGGTAGCTGAAGGTGTCGTCGTCTTCTTGCGGATCGCGTCGCGATTCGCGGCTCTCGTCGCCGGAGTCCAGCTCCGCGAGCCGACTCACTTGGGAATCGGTCTCCTCGTACATGGGCTTCCGAGGCCGGATGGCGTTGTCGTCGATCTGCAGCGCAATGAACGAGACGGTGGGAGATCGCAGCTCCCCGGTGTGGGTTTTGATATTGGGGACTTCTTTCTGGATGAGTCGTTCGAGGTAAGATAGTGGCTGCTGCGGATGGATGAGGATGGCGATGGGTTCGAAATCTAGGTCAACTGTCAGTCCAACCGTCCATCTGCTCGACTCATGAATGAAAATGATAAAACTCACCCATGTGCTTCTTATTATGATGCGCCGTCGGCAACGGAATCAACAATTTAAACAGTCTCGACGGTGTCGTCAACAACTTTCCTACATTTTTCATAGCCCGTCAGCATCATGACCAGCACAGAACAACAACCTCGCCACCACCACCCCCGAATGCATTGCCAAGCAGGGGAGAAGAATAGCCCCAAATAAGAAGCGGAAAAAGAGAAGATAACCTACCGTTTGTCATCGCATTCTCAATCTTCTGATTCCCCTTCGCCTGCTGCGTCCGATCCCGCTCCTTAATCTCCAATCGCTCCAGATGTTCCTTCGTCTCCTTCTTATCCACCTGTTTGATGTTCTCAGGTGTCGCGTACCATCTTCTCTGGGCGATTGCAGGAGCACGAACTCGAGAGGGTCGAGACAAGTCAGACGAGACGGTACAGGCGGATAGGCAAGTCAATGCCGATCGAACACCCGTTGTCGTCGTTGACGAGGATGAGAAACCCGCTACCCCTCTCGTCCGGGGTACGAGGCCAAGCCCACAGCCGGGTCTGGGACTGGCGCCAGCGGCGACACCGAAAGCTCGAAAGGACCGCATTATCGGGCGGTCATCAGCGTGCGAAAGAGGAGCATGTAGGATGGATTGATTGATGAATGGGAGGGATCGTCAGGGACCGGGATTATTGCCAAGGACGGTAGTACGTAGTTTATGTGTGATTGAGAGATCCAATCCGGTACGTTAAAATGAGTAGTCCCTAGTATCTAAGACTGTAGGACAAGAATCAGACTTAGGGCCGGGTGTATGTCGTTCGGGGGGGGTTGAAAAAAACAAGCAACATCAAGGAAAGAAGGTATATAACGGAGCCGAGCGGTCTCGAGCCTCGGAG